TTTGTACTGCGGATTGAACTCGGGTCCTTGTGCTTGCAAGGCAGGCCACCGAACCGCTGAGCTGAATCCCCGGCATGTTGTCTTTTTTTGGTGTAGGCATTTGTTTTGTTACAAGCTTACCTCTTAAAAATACTTTTCCTACATTTATGAATTTTGGTGTATTATATTTTCATTTTTACTTGTTTTAGATAGTTTTTGAGTTTCTTTTTTCCTTTCATCATGGATCCATTGGTTGTTTCAAGAGCACATGTAATTTCTATGTATTTGTGAATTTTTCCAAATTCCTCCTGTTATTCATTTATAGTTTCATAACATTATAGTCAGAAAAGATATATAATATGATTTCAACTTTAAATTTGTTAAGACTATATTTAGTATAAACATATAGGTAGATTAAAACAAGTGGGCTTTAAGTCAAGAATTGCAAGAGTAGTTTAATATTTAAAAATCAAGGGCTGGTGGTATATCTCAAAGGTAGAATACTTGCCTAGCATGTACAAGACACTAGCTTTGATCCATAGCACTGCAAACACAATAATAAAAATTTAAAAATCAATCAATATTTGAACACATAACGGGGGAGAAAAATCAGGTAATTGCATCCATATTTTATGAAACAGCACTTGTTACATTCAATATCTATTCATTATGAGAACTTTTTAGTAGACTAGAAATAGAAACAATGTACCTTAATCTAACAAGACTTCTGCAGAGAACTTAAACAAATATCCTCACTAAAGAATAACAACAAATTATTGAGGCAACAAATATCCTAAAACATAACATTAAAATGGATCTAAAAATTTAGAGAAAGACAAGGTTACATATTAGTTATACTGGATAGGATGTTGAAGTTACCATGAACTGAAATAAATAAAAATTGGAAAGTAAATTGCAAAGAAGACATTGTTTTCAGATGATATAATTTGTTTATTAAAAATCCAAAAGGAATTAGGAGTGTAGTTCTGAGATAGAGATCTTGTCTTTCCTTCATAAGACCCTGGGTTTGGTCCCCAGCATGAAAGTCTCTCTCTCTCTCTCTCTCTCTCTCACACACACACACACACACACACACACACACACAAATAGACACACACAAACACACACACATTTTTAAAACCTCAAAAGGATCCACAGATAAACTTTGTAAACTATTAAGATATTTTTTAAATTGCTTGTATACAAAACAATAAAATATTTTAAGCAAATTGCTTGAATACAAGAAAGTAGGAACAAATCCTAAGTCACCCATACTGACACCCCCAGTACCACATAAACATACCCGGCTCCAGAAGTAGGAGGAATACAGATGGCAGAGTAAAAGCAGGTGGCAAATCATAGCTTCTACAGGACCTGAAATCAAGACACCTGCAAAACAGCTTAGCAAAGAGAAAGAGAATAAAAGCTGTGGGAATCAAGAAAGAGCCAGCAGGAAAGCTAGCAATTGCAGATAAAAGAGCAAGAGTCCAGGGCTGGGGATTTAGCTCAGTGATACCTCTGCCGGCCTCGAAAGTGCAAGGACCTGAGTTTGGTTCCAGGTAACAAAAACAAAAAACAACGTGAACAAAACAGTCTGGAACCTCAATTCTGACTTACAAGGAGGGGGACTTCACTCTATAAACACAAGGTAAGCCTTGAGAGGGTCAGAAGACCCACTGATAAATAATGGACCAGTAGAGCTAGCCCCAAGAAAAACCCACAGTTTTGTAAGCTGCAATTATAGTGTGGAATTTTACTCCAAGAGTGACTTCTTCTGCCTTGGAGTGGAAATCTACTGGGGTACCCACCATATTTGGGAGTGATATAATCAGGAGCCATTAGGGGAAGGAGTTTATGCTTTAAGACTGAGCTACACCAGGAAATGAATTCACAGAACTACACTTTTGTGTTTCTGTGGCGGCCCTGCTGGAGCTTCTAGGAAGGAGACAGCCACAAGAGACAGTTGCAGAGAAGAGGAGGGATAGTCACCGACCCCATGAAAAGT